CTGTCAGTTTAATAACGCAATGTGTATTTGAAAAGTTTATCAGATCTACAGATGCGCCCGCACTAAGAGAAAAATGTCGAATTCAAAGTGCATTTGTGCGTCCCAAGCCTCAGGCGCGAAGAGGCCGGAGTGGTTCAAATCGGTTCACCCTCCCATAAAAAGTTATCACTTTAAAAACATAAAAATTTTATATATCACTGAAATCCTAATAAAATGMTCTATACAATAAGGGGGCAATTAAAAATGGTTTCCATTAACAAAAAAACACAAGTTTATGTCATATGTCAAAAATGATTGTTAATTTGTAAAAATGTCTTATGTCAGTTTATTTGGAAAGCAATCTTCTACAACTTTTCTATTTAATGTTTTCCTGTCAGATTAATATTGACGGACCTTGACGTCATTCAAAAATCTGCCATAACTCAGTTTTTTCACATATTTGCTGACAGCTGTCAAATTTTCGAAACATGAAATTGGTTTCGAGTAGAGCATTCGAAACGTCAAATCTCTGTCCAGTTTTCGTGTCTGCTGTAGCTTCCAAGATTCCTGTACGAAAAAAACCCACCGCGTATAAACAATGAAAACACCAAACATTTGCCCACTTAGTTTCCAAAAATATTGTGTAAAGTTAAATGATGTATTCATCCAAGCACACCAGATTTCTACATCAGGCCAGTTTTCGAGATACCGTTGCCAATTTCCCATCAAAATGAATTAATAATCAGTCAACCCGCTTTCAGTATTAATTACGCGCACTGCATTATTGGCCGCCAATAAACAAATAAAAATACAAAAATACAAATACATTAATCAACCATTCCATGTGTACAAAATGTAAATAGAATTTCGCAGGGATACGCTTGGTTTCTATAAATGTCAAGTTCACATACCTGATGTAGGTAGGATTCTATAGGCGCTTGTTGAATGTTAATGATTGCCGATATCTGTGTACATTAATGCAGCATGTGTTGTTGCTCTCTGCATTTTTATTCGATGGATTAATGCAAGTTTCTCTTAAACTCTCTTTTCATATGCGATTCCCTTTCCGATAGACTACTTCAACAGAATTCAAATTTATATTATTGGAGCATTTCGATGTTTTCAGCCATAAACCAACACACTTTACGCAACTTGTAGGTCCAAATCGAAAAAACTATTATTTATGCTTTAACGGTCACAAAAAATGTACACGTTTAATTACGTTTCAGGGTATCCTCCACCGGGCATCTAAACAGACCAAACATACCACTATCTAATAGTCAACTTCATCAACAACATCAGAACCAACTCAGATTTGGTGTACGCAATCAAAATGCGGATCAGAACAATCATAAGTCGCTGCCGTGCTATCCTGATGAAAATCTCAACCACTACTACAGCTCCAGACCGATAGTTTACCAATCGCAAAATTGCAAGAGTCGACCGGAAGAAGATAAGAAAACTTCTACCAACAATTTCTGTATAAGTAGTCTTGATAAAAGACAGTTGGTGGGAAAGTCTAGTTTCAAAGGGAACTTGAACTCGCTTAAGAAAGAGCCGAGAATAGTTGGAGAGATCGGCTGTGATTTAGTCCCAGCCAGCCAAAGTAGGAGCCAAAGCCCAAAGGTTGCTGATGATGAGCCGAAATATGCAAATGTTTCGGAGCCAGCCACCCCAGTTAACGAGTTTGGTAAGTGACTAAGTAAGGAACCAAACCTGTTTTATCAAGGATTTTCTATAGAAACGATTTGCCAAATTGCAGTAAGACAGTGGCTGTACTAGATAAGCAGTAACAGCTGCAGTCAACAAAACGACATTGATTTAGTGCAATTTCTCGTAATATTGTAAAAAAACCGGAACTTTCACTAACACTAAACCGACCTAACCGACATAATGTTCTGAATTAATTTAAATTCGGATGAATAATTAGCGTCTGCCAGTTGAGAAGAAACAACAGGAGACAATCATTAAAGAATCATCGAAGCACACTGTTCTACAAACCGGTTTTCAACGCACTTCGTTCATGAAATTTTACGATTTTGGAATATTGATGTTGTTGACTCAAATTCGAGATCAAAAAATTCTATAAACAATTACAAATTTGAATATTGGTCACA